AAACTCTTTTTAGTTAAATAACACTAAGCACACAGGATTCAAGGAAAATATATGAGAGGAATAAATTTAACACACTTATTTTTCTGCTTCTACTGCTCGCAAGTTGAAGATGTTCTACTCAGCTACAGACAGTTCACCTCATAACTGGCTGAAATAATCACAGAAAGCCTCACTTCTCTCATCTCTTTAAAGCAGAGTTAAAGACTGCATCCTTACTGTATGCCTTCAGTTGAACTAGCTAACATGTTTTCAGTCTCTGATGTACCACTGACCCTTAGATACTGTGAGAAGCTAAGGGCAAGTAAAGAACTTAAAGGATAGAACTGAGCAGGCTTAACTTCCTGATTTGACATAGATACCTAGAATTCCATATATCCCTATTTATTTGGATCTATTCGTCCAGTTTTATAGCACTGCAACCTTTACTTATCAAGGAAAACATAAGTTAGAGTGACCAACACACTAATAATACGAGAACATGCCAAGAACTGTGCAAGTTCAAGGAGGTCAACATCCTATCCTCAGCAATGGCTTGCAGAAATAAAGTTTAAGGAATAGAATACTAGAAGGAAAGTTTCTTTTGGTCCTTGTCAGCTTTCTAGAAACAGTTAAATAGGGACAATTGATGACATAGACCAGATATATATTGTCAAGTTGAACAGTCAACCACAGACATGTTCTTTAAATGCTTTTTCATAATTTGTCATAAGAACATAGAGAAGAATTTTCTACTAAACTTCATTCCACTGTGTGAAAAAGACATTCCCCCCTTCTCCTTTTAAGTCACCATTTCTTTTTTGCCTGCTGAGTTGCTGTGCTAGAAATAGTGAGTAATCATTCTCTATACTTCTCCTTACTGCTTGCAGTTTTATAAATCTTTAGAGGATTTTTTTCAGTAGCCTCTTTCCTGAGACAGAAAGTTCCAGTCCTCACATTGAAGTTGTTGCTTCTTTCTGTACACCCTCAAAACCTGTGTATCTTACATAAATGCTATGATACCCTTCTCAAGATATAGTGAATAGAGCTCTGCAAAGAGTCATTTAACCTTCTCTTTCTCTCCCATTAGATTTTTTTTGTTAAAAAAGTATGCAAAGCTCTCTCTCCAGCCTGAGCAGTATGCAGTGAGAATGAAGTCACTTACGTTTATATCAGATTACATAAATTCATGAATGTAAAATCAGTATAAATTTAACCACAGTACACACACACTGTAGGGTGGAATGCTTTAAAGTGTTTCCACAAACCTCTCACATTATCTGTAAGTGGAAGCGTAACCTATAAACCATAAACAAGAGCAGCTAAACCATTAGAGAAAACACTCTCAACAAAAATCAAATATTTAAAATAAAATGGGTTTTATACTCTTCCATTATCATTATGTTAGATGTCTGATCACTAAATCATTCCTCCCAGAGAGCAGTCCCACTTTCCTTCAAGTCTCAGATGTTTGATCACAGAAATGCCTGTTAAATGGCTTTTAGCAAATGGAACATTGATTTTCAAAGCCCAAGTGGAGATTTAAAAAAGCATGATGTTCTGTCAGTGTTTTTATTCCTGTGCTCTTTACCATGTGCTTTTTTCACAAGAATAATGTCTGAATACTGTAAGCAGGCCAGCTTGTTAGTGCATTGGGATCTGACACAAGAGAAAGGCAACTAATCTCATAACAGGATAATCTCAGTGTGAATCAGCATATCAATATCACTTGGTGACTAGGTAAGAGCAGTACACTTTGCTGGAAACAGTGAAATAGGGCTGCATACCTACCCAGCAAAAAGAAACCACACAATTTTGATTTTGCCTTCTTCAAAGGTCGGTGGCCAATTCCTCCCAGTAAGCATAAATCTAGTTACAGCACTTCACTCCTCACAGCTACAAAGGTGTAATTCTGGAATGAGGATGTTTCTCTTCAAAACTCTTGCCAACATCCCTTAGCAAAAAGCTGCCACTCCATTCCAAGAAATGTAGCTCAACTCGCATACCTCAGTCTTAACCTCCTCCTACAAGTTTCACTTTCATAGCTTAATTTAGTTCTCTGCTGATGCACTTTATATAATTTTGGGTGGGCTGACATTTATTCTGAATATTGATTTCTTACTCTCTAGCCTTAGACTGTTTCAGATGCAGGCAAGTTACTTTTACATGTGTTTCTAAACATACACAGCTGATCAAGGTTGATTATTTCTCATCCCCAAACTACCTCAGAAAAAAAAAAAAAACAACACATCCTCCATGTTCCTTACTTGCAGCATTTTTCTGAATAAATTACACCCTGCATAAGTGCTAGGATTGTTCATTTATAATTGATAGTTTAAACCCTGTGATTCTTTTATCTACTTTCAGCTGAATTACTCAATTTTTCTAAGTAAAGAGTTATGAACAATAAACATGTTTACAAGCTAACAACAAAAATGCCCTAGAAATGGGAGCATTGCTGGAATACTTCTGCAAACACAAACCAGACGCTCAAGAATTCATGGAATCCTAAGGGATAGCCAATATAACCAAACAACATTCTCAAATAACCATTTTTCTTTATCTGGTTTTACATTTTCCCTGTATCTGGGGATATTTCCACAGATAATAGCCAAAGCTATTTCCATAATGAATATCCTGAATATATCGTTGCTTGCTCACTGCCTGACCAGAGATCTCCCTTTGGTCCTGAGCCTGCAGTCAGCACAGAAAGTTTCAAGAATGGGACTCTGAAGCTAGAAAGGAAAACATCGAGTCCAGATTCCTCTTTTTCCTAGAACCTATCCCCATGCTGTTCTTACGATTTTCTCCTATTTTATCTCGAAGGATTTTAGTTTTCTTCTTAAAGTAATTCAGGTTACTCTAGAGTTCACCACTAATACAACAGATTCTATTGTATTAATGCGTAGTAAAGTGGAGCATATACAATATTTTTAGGTTGCAAGCCATTTTAATGGGTTGGATACGTCACTGCAATAAATTACTTAATTTGAAATTGTTCCTTTCCCCCAACATCTGCACCACAACTTATGAGTCACCTCACAAAGTCATTTCAAAGATACTTTAATATATTTAAATCCACACATCTATGCAGAAGTACAGAAACAACTGTTATTTTCAGTTACAAATTCTAAACCATTAGACTGCTTTTCTACTAAATTAAGTTGTTCTCCTCACTTTTTTAGTAGAATAGAAATCTATTGCTGCATTTCTTCAATAATTAAAACATTTTAAAAAGCACGAACACCATGCTTTCACCAAATCAGGGACAAAGATGGGCCTGATGTCACAACACTTTTAGCCTCTCTAGAATAAGCAGGTGTTCATTATGCTGTGTTTGTTATGTGCTGTCATCTAAAGACAGGTCCATGAGCACAAAACCAGTTGGATAACAATGAAGGTTGCCATGGCTAGGTGTAGAGCTGAGGCTCCTAGCACAATTCAGACATAAGAAATCTATACAAATAACTCATGCCCCTGGACCTGTAACATTACAGCTCTGGTAAGAATATAATACTCAGATTTCATTAAAACCTACAAGAAATTCCACTGAAGATAACCAAAGCTTCTCCCCTGAGGAAATAAGCAGTAGGGAGAAAAAAAGCAACTCACAGCAGTAATTCAATAGAGTTAAAATTAGAGTGAATGCAAAAAGGAGTATGATTCCAGAATCTTAAACATACAGCAGTATCTTTCTCATTTTAATAGTATAAGGAGTATAAGGGCATATGGTTAATAAAATTACCTGTTTAAGTATTATTTAGTGTAACAGAAATAACAAGCAACAAGAAAAACAATAAAGCAAATAAATGCACAAATATTAGTGAGTAGATATGAAATGAGACAAGAAAGATGAGAAGCAAGCAGTCATTAACTGATAGGCTGTCAAAAGAAACTACTCAAGATAGCCTTGAGGAAGGGACCACAAAATCAAAATTGTATTACAGAAGCAGAGCTGTGATAGTATATGAAAATATGGAATACTAGAGAGAACTTGAGAAGTCATACAAACATTATAGAATGCTTCAGGGAGACAAAGACAGGGTAAGGGTGAAATAAACACAGGACAGTTGTCCAACTAAGCCCTGTATCTGATGAGTCTATTAACAAGTCTTACTACACCTTTTTTTATAACCTCAGCACTACTCGAGAGTAGTGGCTCCCTGAGGGGATCCAGACAGCCTAGATAGGGATACATGGGCAACACCCAATTGAATGGCATACAAAGAAGCAAAGAGGCCAAGTGCTGCACTTAAGTCAAAACAACCTCATGCAGTGTGTCTGGAAAGTTGCCCAGCAAAAAAGGACCTGCAGATGCTACTCAGTAGCTGGCTGAGCATGATGCAGCAACATGCCCTGGTCAAGAAGGTCAATGATATCCTGCCTTGCTTCAAAAACACTGTGGCCAGCAGGACCAGGGAAGATACCATGTCCCTGTATTCGCGTCCTGGTTGACCACAGTTTGAATCCGGTATTACGGGCCCCTCACAACCCTGGTAATGGGACATGATGGGTCAGGCTAATAGGTGAACTTAACAATAGCAAAGGGCTTTTCCAACCTAAAAGATTCTTAATCTTACATACATGCCACAGGGGCCAATTGCCAGTAACAAGAGACCACAAATTACCAGCTCTACATACACCCTGGGGTCTGCACTAGATAGCCCAGAGTGCAACAGATTTAAGTGCCAGCAACACGGAATGGATCATAAGTCACAGGGCTCACTGGACTGGCAGCCGGCACCAAGAGTGACAGGGTGCATGCTGCAAGGAGCAAGCTGCAAGAGGCATGTGAAGAGAGTAGTACAAACATGGAATTCTGTATTCTTGTACTTGCCCACGTGCATGGCTAACGAGGAACTAAAAGACCTGTATCCAAAAAGGCTCCAAACAGGTTACCAGGTAAAGTACAGGGGTCCATATGCAGACATTAGGTCAGTCACTGGCAGGTATCGGCAATTGAGGGGTGCTTTATCTGCAACATAATTAAGAAGCTCAAGGAAAAAAAAAAAAATTAATCTTACCTCCAAATATTTTTTCTCTCATTCCTTCATTACAATTAAGCCTGCACGCACGTTGTGAAGCATGGAATAACTCAGAAACGAGCTCAGAAGGCGCAGACACAGCACTTCGCCTTCACCAAGACCTCCTCAGGCGCGCACCACCGCGCGCTCGTGACCACAACCGCCGCTCTGCAGCGCAGCAGCACCGAACAAACTAAACAGCCATCCGCACTCCTCCTTTACGAGAACTAATAAGCACCCCTCCGCAGCACGTGCCTTTATTCCCGCTCTCTCCCTTCTCGTCAGCCCCGCCTTGTGAGCATGCGCACCTTCGCTGCCGCACGTGGCTCCGCGCGCCTCTGCCTGCCCAGGCGGAGCGGCCACGCGCTGCAGAGGGAGGGGTTTGCTGCTGAGGGGGTTGTTAAGCGCAGCGGCTTTTGTGGGGTGATCTGTGAACGTAATGGAGCTGAGATCGGGCGTCACTTAAGCACACGGAGCGTCCTGGTGAAACCTCGTGTAATAAAATAGCAGAGATCCGAGGTTGCGGTACGGTTTAGTTTTGCACGCAGTGATGGATGCCGAGTGCCAGGTTAGTTGAGGGGCAGCACGCGCCCAGCCTGCGCGCACCACTCCCCCAACAGAAACAGCTTTGCCGCTCCCGCCTCTTCCTCAGACACGGCTGCCCTGCGGCTCCTTGCGCAGTTCGGCGCGGGGGACTGTGGGTAATGCAGTCCAATCGCGCCGTGACGCCTCGCGCTCCGTAGTGAAGGCAGAGCGACCTCTGCGAGGCATTGTGGGCCTTGTAGGAACGGGCACGCCCCAATCAGAGGTGTCGCTTGGGCAGGGCGCTCTCGCGCGGCCGGGCACGGTTCCACCATTATTTCCTACTGCGATCCCATTGGCCAACCAGAGGGCGTGACAGTCAGCGCCTACCCTGGCCAATCGGCGTGGGCCATGTAGAGAGGAAAGTCGTTTCCTGGCGGCTTGCGTACGCCGCGTTCAGCGGTCAGCTTTTATTCGTCAGTGCTGAGAGCTGATTGGTGGTGCCGGGGCGGTGGGTGGGGCGAAGGAGCCGGGCTCGGGGTCTGGCGACGGCGGCGGCGCCGCAACGGAGGCCGGCGGGATGGGGCGGCGGGCGCGTCTCGCGCTGCTGCTGTGCGTCGCGGTTCTGCGGGCCGCGGGGTTGGCGGCGGCTGGTGAGTGTGTGGCTGCTGCCTCTCTACGACGCGCCGGGCTGCGACCTGTGCGGTCTCGTTTCTAGGGGCCTGCTGCTGGGGCTGCCGGCTGGGCTCTGAGGTGTGGGGGAGCCAGAGCCCTTGGGTGCCGGGTTAGGGTGGGAGCTGCTTTGGCCTCAGCAGGGTGTTGTGGGAGCTGGGCATCTGGTAGTTGTGTGACCGCGGGGTGGGGAGCGGAGCTGGGCCAGACTGGGCCGACATAGGCCTTTAGTGGGGCGGGCCTTTTTTCCTCTGGGATCCCTCAGGAGCTGAAGGGTTTGTGCCTTGTACGGTCTCGCTCGTTCTGGCAGCACGGCATGAGTCTGTTCAGTGCAACTTAGTGTGTTTTGGTTTAACACAAAATGCTTTTTTCTCCCTAATATGGATCTCGTAGCCGATGCGCCAGTAGCGCTGATGTTGGCATTACCAGATGAACTTTCTCCCACGGATAGATACGCAGCACTACTGGAGCGTACACTGTGTCACTGTAATACCCTTTGCTGTTTCTGTTGGGATGCTGCTTCCATTTGTGTGCTTTGTGTTTGCTGTCATCCTTCTTCCCTTCCTGGGCTCCTGTTTCTCACTCCCTTGGAACCAAAGAAGCATAGGAGAAGAAACATGCAAAGCCTTTATTTATGTAGAGAGTCTTTAAAGTCTTTAAGAACTTGAATGTACAGCTTTTGCTAGTCAGGGTGTGCTTACAGACTGATATCTCAAGAAAGTTATTTTTTCTAGAGGTAAGTTCATTAGTCTGCGATTTATTTTCATGTGTCTGATAGGAACCTAAAGGTAAGTTCCATTGTTGGAGCTCAGACTGAATATCAACTGTAGTTATAGAGCTTAGTGCGTAATGTTATAAGCCAGCTCAACATGTCCCATGGCATGGAAAAGGCAAGCACAAGGACTGTGAAGCTAGAAGGGAGGCGTACCATGTGTGAATGCTGTGTTTGCACTGATGTAAAAGATAAAGCTGAGATAATTCACTATAAACGAGCCGTCTGTTGTTTTGTGGAAGTTCTGTCAAAATTAGGGGCTGCTTAACGGCACCTCTGTGGCTGTAGTAGCATGCAGAATGCAGGTCTTCTGGCTCGACTGCTTTTCCATCATCCTATAGCTCTGTGAATATGAGGTTCTCATAGATTAAATTAATCTCAAAAAAAACCTGTATATTTACAGTCAATTGGATTAATAGGCCCAAGTCAAACCATAGTACATTGCCTGACAGTTAAGGGTGCTGTTGCCAAACTTAAATTATTCCTGTGACATAAAATTTTTCATTAATATCCTGAATTAGTTAGGAAAGGATATTGGATTACAAGGGGGGGGGGGGGGCCGGGGGAAGATAATAATAATCTGTCTTGCTCCTATTTCCTCTATTTCTGAAGGAGAAAGAAGCAATAATCACTTTTCAGGTGCCTTGCTTTCCTTCAGTAACAGTAAGTCTGTGTCTTGTAGAGTCTGTTACACGCCTACCTACTGTGTTAAATGCTTCTTTAAATACTTGATCGTTCCCTGATGTCAGGAAACTGTTACCTGGAACCAGAGTATATTAGAGGGAGGGATTTTTAAAAGGTTAAATAAAAATGGTTCAACTGTTATGTCTGAACTTTGGAAGACACTTTTAATAAGGACTTTTCTTAGTCAGGCAATTAGCTATATATTTAAATCCTAACTGTGCTCATAGTCTGCTTCAAGCAATTTCCTGAAGATTTCTTGCAAGAAAACTCGTCAAGAGAAAGGAGTGCTTCTTAATTTAAGACATAATGTTAGTACAGATTATGAAGAAATTTGAGGTTGGGTCTAGGGGAAGAATACTAAGGCATCTATGGGGGCATGGGCAAAAGCACATGAAAATAGAAGCTACTTCTGTTCTGGTGAAAGATAGTGATCTGCTACTGCTTGTAGCTGCAGTGGCCTTCTGCTGCTTCTGCTTCATTAACAGTTTTGGGGGAACATAATCTTATTTGTTTCTGATTGTGGATATTATTTGATTCTAGATATTTTCCCTTGCTCATGGGAATAAAGAGATAGAAGTTCTTTTGCTTTGCCTGAAGAGAGGAAGCAATTCTTGCTCTGGCTATCCTGTACCTTCTTTGGCTAGCATTAGTGATAAGCATAACTTTTATTGTACTGGTACTGTTTTATTAACTGGTAGGACAGATAAATACAGGTATGTATTTATATTTGTTCTCATAAACATCAGAGTTTAATGGCTTTTCCTGTCCCTCGCAAGATTTTTTTGTTGTTTTTTTTTCCTAACTGGAATGCATTCCTAAACTTTCGCCTTATTAAAAGTCTCATTTTCTACAGAAGGCTGTAAACAGCTAGCAGCAATTGCAAGGAGACTGGAAAAAAGATTTGTATTCAGTATGAGAGTTGACCATTATCTTCATCTTGTAGTTGCCCTAAAATAAGGGCACTACAAAGATTGTAACTGGGAATAATTTACTTAGATAATTTGAAGGGATAATTTGAAACTAGTCTTGCTGAATAGATGCTGCTTAAGGATTTTGCTTAACTCATTGCAAGTTTTCGAGCTTCATGTAATAGGAATAGGATCTATGCTAAAGTGGCTCTGCTGGCCATTTCTTTTCTGAATTCAACAGTTGAAAGTTTTTTATAGAATTATAGAGTTATGGATTTTTGAGTCAGAAGAGAACTTTAAAAGTCATTTATTCCAGATCCCCCAGGGGTATTTCCTGGGGACACCTACAGCTATATTGGGTGGCTCAAAGTCCCCTATCCAATCTGACCTTGAATTTCTCCGAGGACCGAGCATCCACCACCTCTCTGGGCATGCTGTTCCTGTGCTTTACTACTCTTTTTGTAAAAAAAAAAAACTTTTTCCTTATACCCAGTCTAAATCTTCCCTCTTCTAGTTTGAAACCATTTCCCTTGCCCTATCAAAACAGACCTTGCTGAAGAGTTTGTCCTCTTCGTTCTTATAGCCCTCTTTTAAATACTGAAAGGCCACTGTCAGATTCCCTGGAATCTTCTCTTCTCCAGGCTGAACAGCCCCAGCTCATTCAGCCTGTCCTCCTAGGGGAGATGTTCCATCCCTTGGACCATTTTTGTGGCCCTTCTCTGGATGTGCTCCAACAGGTCCAAATTTGATAAGCAGTAATCATGGGTGACTTTAGGTTTCCTTTGTTTGTACAAAATTGGGATAAACAGGGCTTGCATTCTGTTTCATCATCTGACTAGTCACTGGCATGAAAAGAATGTTCAAAGAAGTAAAAATACCGCAGATGATCTCTAGAACAGCAGTCATCAAAATTCTGATGTGCATATTAAAAAATTTCCATGCTCAGTGTTTAACTTAAAGATAAATACACATGTATGTCCTACTCTGTTAATGCATTATGTACACAAAATAGAAATGAAAAAAAAAAAATGACAAAGATCAAGTAAATGGTATCTCATTTTATGCTTTATTAATGGTCCAAGAAATACTTTCTTCCTGCACTACAGAGACATGTCTTTGCACCCCTACTGTGTACAAAGTGTAGAGCATACTAAATTTCACTTGTTGCTTTGTTGTGATAGTGTTTGAAACTTGAAAAGTGTAGCCAAAACTGTAAGAATCATAGAATCACAAGGCTGGAAACAACCTGCAAGATCATCTAGTCCAACCACCCTCCCATTCCCAGTACCACAAGCTACTAAACCATCTCTTGTAGCTCCTCATCCAGGCGCCTCTTGAACACTGCCAGGGACGGCGACTCCATCACCTCCCTGGGCAGCCATTCCAGTGCCTGACCACCCTCTGAGAGAAAAAGTTTCTCCTAATGTTCAACCTAAACCTCCTCTGGTACAACTTCTGGCCGTTTCCTCGGGTGCTACTATTTGCCTGGGAGAAGAGGACAGACCCTTTTTCATCACAACCTCCCTTCAGGAAGTTGTAGAGTGCAGTGAGGTCTCCCCTGAGCCTCCTCTTCTCCAGACTGAACAATCCCAGCTCCCTCAGCCACTCCTCATAAGACTTGTGCTCCAGACCCCTCACCAGTTTCGTTGCCCTTCTCTGGACACCAACTGTCAGTCATCAATTAGAATGTTTGTTAAAACTCTGAGAGATTGTCTACAGCTTCCAGTTACTGAATTTTGATTTGTTTCCCAAAGGTGAGCAAGTGTTCTAATGTTAAAACAAGTGTTAGTTGTCTGGTAGCAGCAGCTCTTTAGCATTATAGTTGATTTGTTCTTGAATATAGCAAAACATTGGAACTGCTGGGCTTCTTCAACCTAATAATGTTATCTGAACTGCACCACCTGATTCCCACTATTTCTACCCACTCTCCATAATACTTTCCTGAAAGTGGTAGTTCTTACAAACCTCAGCTAGCACTACAGCTGGAATACTTCTGCTATATTTAAATAAACTAACTGAACAGAGGTTTTTCTACTTGGAGTAAAATAAATGCAGTTATTTGAAGCTGATCTTA